AGGATCTTTAGTGCCTCCTAGGCGAAATGACACTTCGCCAGTTTTGTGATACGCCTGCGGATCGAATAGCGACGAAGACGGACTGCAGTCGTTGTAAATGTTGCTCGAATGTTTTGGAAAAAAACAACAAAGTCGTCTAAATAGACGAGGCAGGATTCCCTTTTTAGACAGGACAGGACGGTGTCCCTCATCCTTTGAAACGTTGTCGGTGCAGAGCACAATCCAACCAGCAGCACTTTGAATTTGTAGAGGCCATCGGGAGTTACTAACGCTGTTTTTTCCTGTCAGGTTCATTGACCTCCATCTGCCAGTTGCCGGTGCGCAAATCTATTGATAAATAATATAGGGCATGTCAAAGTCAATCCAGTGAGTCATCTATGCGTGGGAGAGGATAGACGTTTTTTCGTCACTTTGTTGAGCTTCCGGTAATTGACGCAAAATAGAAGAGTGCCGCCTTTCTTTTTTAACAAGTACCACGGGTGACGTCCATGGACTGCTCCAGGGTTGAATGACGTCCTCGTCGAACATCTCTTTCACCTGAAAACGTATTGCCTCTTGTTCTTTTTGCGACACGTGGTAGGCGTGCTGTCATATAGGCCTTTCAGTAGAGTCCATTATAATGTGGTGCTTCATGATTGGGGTCTGCCCGATTTCGGAGGTGGACGCAAAGCAGTCACTTTACGTTCGTAAAACCATGCGTATCTGCTGCTGCTGCGCCGACAATAGCAGGCAATTCTTGTCAACTGGACTGGCTAATGCCGTGTCACATTCGGCGGCAGTGGCAATCGGGGCGATGGTGGAACCTTCTTCGTCATCAATGGCTTTAAAGTTCGCGATCGCTGCTCGCTTTGCCAATTGTTGGTACTAGCCACTGAAATTCGTGATCAGAAGCTGAGTTCTCCAATATTTCAGTTGGACGATAGCGCGCGCGACCGAAATCTGCCAAGCCAAGAGAACCGAGAGGTTAGTTTTGGCGATACTACTACTCATGTTGTTACAGTCACTCTCCACAGTTACCAACATACTGGCTTGCGGAGGAAGTGCGATGGTGTCGTCAGCAGTTTTATATGTTGTGGTCTGCGCAGCTGCATCCTTTGGTCTGGCTGTATGCTCCTCAGAGAACGTTATGAGCAAGTCGCGAAGGTTAATAACGGCTTCATGCTCACGGAGGAAATCCATTCTGAGAATTAGGTTTTGGGAGCATTCGCTCAATAACGCGAAGGAAGCAACGTGTGTTGACTCACGAATCCAGAGTCAGGCCGTGCATATTTTCAGCGGCACCAATAGGTGCCCTCCTGCAGTAAGGAGGTTGGGTCCATGTCCCCAAGGTGTCATTACCTTTTGCACATATGCAGCGAGGTCAGCGCTCATCATGGAATAATCGGCACCCGGATCTACCAGAGTGGTTAGCGGGTGGTTATCGACAACAATGGAGATGTGAGCAGAGATGTGAACGACTGTCGTTGATGGCACACGTCGGTGGAAGGATGTCGTCGGGTGTTGGTAGGCACTTCGGGGGAGGGTCTTTAACGGTCTATCTACAACGGCCTCACCCCCAGAGGTCACTGTTCTTAGTTTTCCCGACGTGGGCTCGTGGATCTAAGTGATCTTTCTGCAAGGAAGTCCACAAAGGTCGACTGTTGGCCAGATGGCGTGGAGCGCCGTGGAGACGATGAGCGAAATTGTTAACGCGCAAAGGTTGGGGACTGCCGGCTTGCCAACTATTGGCGATAGCACGGGGCCGCTCACCATTGCTTGGTCGACGAGCATCCGGACGAAAGCAAAGAATACCCATGTGCCTGTATTTGCACTCACGGCAAATGTGACCCAGTTCACCACAGTAATAAGAGTGGCCGGTTGGCGGGTGCACGCCACACACTGGATTTCCGTGTAACTGGTGGGTTGCCATACTGCCGTGGTCCGGAGTATAATCACGGCGCCGCCTGCAGGGTGGACGGACGAGACGGATGACCAACAGCTTGTGCAGGAGAACTTATTGCTTCCACGTACGTTATTAGCGGAGCTTTGGCTCTTTATGGGGCCGTCATTGGTTGGACCACGGCTGGATGTATAGTCTTGATCGGTTGCACCAGCTGGCAGACCTCTTCGCGGACGACATGCGTTAGAGCAGCAAAATGAAGCTGATAAGACACCGCGTGCAGCTTTTGCAGCTCCTCGTGCACAATACTGCGCACGAGCTCCGTCAGGTCTCTTATAGTCATGACGTCAGGTGTTGGCAAGGCCGATGACACTGACGAAAGACTACCGATGACACTGGCGATGACACTGACGATGACACTGACGAAAGACACTGACAATGACACTGCTCACACGGATACGAAAACTGCCTTAGCATTCTCTCCATCGTCGTGGCTTCTCGGAGGAAATCCGCTGCAGTGCTTGGACCGTTGCGCACTAGTCCAGCTAACAAATCCTCAAATAGCAACACTCTCGTTCATCCACTGATTTCCAGTGAACGAAACTGAGGAGCCGTTCCGCTTGCTACTTTCGGTCAGAGCTTCGGAAGGTATTCCGCAACTGGTTACAAAACTCTGGTCAGGTTGTCATAGCGGCTTCATTGTTTTCTAACCGAGTGCGCGGAGAGTCCTCGAGGTAAAAGTAAACATACTGAAGCTTTCGGTGCTCGTTCCACTCATTGACAATGGCGCAATGGTTGTAGTCGTCAAGCCAGTCGTCGACGTCCTCTTAAGGGTCACCGTGGAACGGCTTCGGGGTTCGCAGGGCGATGAAGATTCATGGAGGAGGCAGCATCGATGTCTCTTGGGATTGCGTTCCTGTACTAGCCATAGTTATGTCGAGTTGTGGAAACGGTCTAAAGTCAGGTGGTAGGCCTAGTTTTTGCCGGCTATGCCCAAGGTCAATTGGTTCTTCCAATCCGCGAGTAGTGTCGTGATCTTGCTGCTGCTTGCAGTGCATACAAAACTACCCCGCACCTCCACCAGAAAACGTCACGTGATTTCGGATAGAACACGTCTGTTTACCGGAGCACCAGCACTGTACGTCGTGCCGAACCGAACATTAGACCACGTACAGAATAACCAGTCTTCTTTTTTCACAATCACAAAATATCGTTCCTTGCCCGTCCGTGGCCATATATATATATATATATATATATATATATATATATATATATATATATATATATATATATATATATATATATATATATATATGTATATATATATATGGCCACGGACCATTTTACCTTTCTGTTCGGTTTTGAAAAGAGGTCGAGGACGTGCTGAAACAACCTAAGTTAGAGCAGAAAGTCGTGGTTTTGCTTAATCAACCTTGCATGGTCTGACCACCCTCGTCCCCCAGTTAGCCTGATACCACCTTCAAAATGACTGTGCATAAATTTGTTATAATGTGGGCGTCGAGACATGTGACAATTGGTTCGGTTATTCCGTTACATAGCGTTATGTCATTCTTCTGGAAATTATTTCCAAATACGCCTAACACTGGCTCAAAATCACTGAAATGACCTACTTACTCTATTTAATGTCCTCTCATGCTCGGCTTAGCATACATGTGCTTCGGTGCGAACGAATGCGGCAAGAAGGATGCTTGCAAGCTTGTTTAACAGTAGCTCTTTTGTCAAGGAGTGCTAACTCAAAAAGTACTTGCAACCAATATATATATATATATATAAATATATATATATGTATATATATATATACATATATATATATATATATATATATATATAACGCATCTCATGTACTGTGTTACAGAAGCACGCACCATACGGCAGACAAGTGTTCGGACCCAATTGAAGTTGCACCGTAAACCGGGCCGCTACTTTTGAGACGAAGGCTGCCATCTTTTAGCACAACATTTGAACCTGTGTAGGTGTGGCTTACAGATCACATATTTACCACAGCTGAGCAGGACATCATTTCCTGCAGATGAAGCAAATGAGGTTGAGTTGGACATCCTAGGTGACCTACTGAAAAGACCGAATAAATGCCACGAGTAGTTTTGGTCCTACTAATACAAGCAAGCAAATACTATAGGTTTGTTGCTTTCTTGGAAATCTGTCGTATCCTTCGTGGCGTGTGCTGAACAGCTTTACTTGTAATAGCTACTTGGCTGCTGACCCGCAGGTTGCGGGATTGATTCCCGGCTTTGGCGGCTGCGTTTACGATGGAGGCGGAATTGTGTTAGGCTCAGATTTGGGTGTACGTTAAAGAACACCAGGTGGTTGAAATTTCTGGAGCCCTTCACTATGGCGTCTCTCATAATCATGTGGTGGTTTTGGGACGTTAAACCCCACATATCAATCGACCAATTTACTTGTGGTGGTCCCGCATTGGGTGTAGTGGTTGACAGTTTTTAGGTTAAAGCAATGTCACACCTTTTAATGAGACATTTCACTATTACAGGCGAACAAAACCTTAGCACGTGAGGAGATGGTTTTGACGAAACAGTTTACGGAGGGGTTTGCGAGTTAGACGATAAAAGTTCTGACAGCTCTCTGGAGGCAACTTTTTCGAAACTGGTTGCACTATATTTCGAACCAAATACTGAGTTTGGGTGGGCACTTCCGATATTAGGTAATTTTTTTCTTGGAGATAAGTTAGCCAATCTTCCCTGTCTATATACACTGCTTCCACAGTTCATGCGTCGTGTAATGCAAAAGATAATTCTATCCCATGTTTAAGGTGTTTCAAGAGCATTATTTTTTTCTTCACGTACAAACATCACATAATAAATTAAACGATAACTTCTATGTCAACGGTCGAGAACTACTGCATTTATATGCTATTTTAGAGCTACTCAGATAAGCCTTCATTTTAAATTTTGCGCATAAAATGCAAAAAAACGCTGCACCTGCTAATATTTTAGAGTGATTATTAATTTCCATAAATTTACGTTAGCTTTGTGTACAATTTACTTGGAAAATTTCTACCTCCAAAGTATCCTTATGAAAACTTACATCAGTAATTTGCTTAAGGATTATTAAGTAAATACATTACCGGTGGTTCAGCTGCCAGATTGGAAGGTGTATATATAGCAATCAGAATGTACATCCAAATGGTGTTGGAAGCCATCGATATCGTACAAATAGTTCTGACCACCGTAGTATCTGAATTGAAATCTTCTTGATCTCGGTAAGTTCTAAGCGATGCTTTATATATCAGCTGCCGCAGAGCTTTCTCGTCAGAAAGCTGAAGTTCAATGGCTAGATAAAAGAATGCACTCACGAGAGAACAAATTCCTTCACAAAAATTTTATCGATAGAATAATTTTTTGAATTTGTAAGGTCGTAATGAGGGCTAGTTCATATTAGTCACTAATAATTTATTTGACATCTTCAGATGACCTTTCCGTAAGACTGTTTGACTGTTCTGCCATGTTTTAGGTCAGAACTTTCACGTAGTTGACTGAAGCTCTAAACACCTAATTGATTCATTGTTAACGATTCATAGACTTTAGGGAGGCAAGGGGTCGGCGAAAGAACGTTTAAGGCGCATCGATTCTCTGCATTCTTTACAATTAAAATTTTTTTGAGTATCGCTTGATCCACAGAAGCCCCCCCAGCCGCATAAACATTGTTCCTCGAGCGTCATACCCTTCACAAACGCCACCTTCGAATTGAAGTAGAAAAAGATGCGTGAAAGCTGCTGGTCAGGAGTCCACGTTCACTAATTTATTCAGTTGCATTTATTTATTTATTTAGTTAGTTACATAGTTATTTAGTTACATAATGCTTACGCCACAATATATATGTTATAGAAGGAGGACTAAATTTTACCACTAAAAGTGGTAAAAAAACGTGTTGCACAGACAGAAACACAAATATAACTATAACCACATAAATCGTAACATAAATATGGCTCAAGAAATGCGTTCTCAAGAGGCGTACAAGAACGTCTAGTATTGAGAACTGTTTGAAGCTCCTAAAGTTTTAGAAAACAACCAGTAGAATGAAAGGTGGTAGCTGAGCCTGAAGACAGAAACCGTGTTGTCGTTATTAGAGCAAGTGAACGTGTTCAATTGTTGAACTAGGTAGCTTTGATGATTGATGCCTGTGTTATAGTTGTATTTTAATGCAACAGTTGAAGCCTTCATTTCCGTCTACGTAATCAGGCCAGATTCCATGGCATAGTGTAGTTCATTCGAGAAGCGCTAGGTTAGGGGTTGAAATTATTCAAACTATGACACTTTGTGCTGAAATGATCTGAGTCTATTTTGAAAGTATTGTTGTTGGAGAATATTATTACTCACGCATAGTGAAGTACACACTTCATCAATGAAGCATATAAAGTTTTTTTGATATTGCGCGTCACTTCTTTAAATTCCTGCAGAAAAAGTGCAGCGCACTGATAGCTTTCGCTAAGGCCATGAAAAAAATTTTTTCGCATAAACAATTCAATAAAATGGAGGCGATATTATAATCGAAGTGTATCTTCATAAGTGTATCACATATGTTATATTGATGCTGTGATTTCCATACTTTCATTGAGAAGTTTACGTGACCACACTTTTAAATATTTAAATTCATGCTACACTTTTACATCAGTCCACGATATTTCTTGGTTGGTTTAAAATGTGTGTATATAATGTTCAGTCGAAATTTATCTTGGTCTACAGCCCTCAGAAAATAACTTTACGGATGATCTTATGCTTGCAACTGCGTCGAATATGTAGAATGGGAATTATAAGGGCTCCAGAATGATCCCTTAAAAAACGCCCAAGTGACAGTTTATGGGGCAGATTTGGCGTTATTTAAAACGACGGACTTGGTTCTGTAACTTGAGTATCTTCGTATTGATTTTTCAACATTCTTTTGACGCTTGATGCAGGAAGCCACAGATCGAATAATGTATAAAACAAAACTCAAATAAATTTTGAAAACCTAAAATAATTATTGTGTAAAATAATTATTGTAAAAGTTGTATCATTGTAACTCTCCGCAAATATTGGTAACGGCTTCAAGAAAAAAAACTGCTTCCGCATTAATCAGTACAACTTAGTTTTTAGCTCAAAACTACAACTGCAAGTATTCTATTTATTTAAGACAAACTGTAGGAAGGCATATTGAAGGTATATTAGATGAGTAATTTATTTGCAACTTGCCTGATGCTTGGAGACATTTTGTGTTCATAATACTGCAATTTTGCTCATTCAGTCACGTTATCTACTCTTGAACTTCAACAAAAACTCTATACACATCATTAGTACTTTTTTATTCAACTACAAATTTTGCGCTAAAAGAATTGAATAGCTAACTTAGCTACTTTCAGCTAAAGGGCTGGCTTATTTTCAAATCTACCCAATGGCGACCTTGCCCGGCTGTTACGTCGCCGCCGCGGGACCATTCAGCAATTGCACCTTGCGAGTAGGTCCTTAGAATCTGACCAGGTGGCATGCCTAGTATTCAAGTTCCTTGGCTTAATTTTGTGTGCCATGATGATACGACAAGAAGCGTGAAGGGGCGAGAAAGTAGCCTTTGGTGCATATTTAACATCACCACAACCAAGACCAACAAGATCGGTATTTTTCATTTATAGCTGGATGCATTGTAGATATTGTTACTTGAAGGAGAATGACTCGGAGTGGTTGTCACCGATGTACTTACAGCCGGTTAAGCGAGCAGCGCCAGCCACACAGATAAGCTCGTGCCAGTCATTCTGCTTTGGCTTCTTTAACTCCATGCACTGGCACGTAGCGTGACCCCCGGCGGCGGAGGCACCGTCCCGGTGCTTTTCAAAGGTCGTTATCAGACGCATTCTTGTAGAGCTTGATCCGCGAGACGTGTACCATATCACTGGACCGCATAGTAGATGATGATGGATAGATGGGGCTAATCTCGTAGGTGACAGGTGTTACTTGGCGCAATATACGGTAGGGTCCCGTGTACTGAGACAGAAGTTTTTCGAATAGGCCCAGCCGACGGTGAGGGGACCAGAGTAAAACGAGGGTACCGGGAGCGAAATGTACGTCTCTAGTTTCCGCATCGTGCCGACGGCATTGGTTGGTTTGCGACGCCATCAGCCGAGCGCGAGCGAGCTGACGGGCATGTTTGGCTCGCGCAATCGCGTCGCGGGCATACTCGCTGGTAGACAAGGTGTGAGCTGAGATGACTGTGTCCAGTGGTAAAGTCGGCTCACTTCCATACATTAAGCCCGCTCTGCCATGAAGGCATGAAATAAACGCGAAAGTTGCGTAGGGTAAGGCAAGGTCCCAGTCTTGGTGGTCGGGCAACATGTACATAGCGAGCATATTTGTTAAAGTCGGCTAAATCGTTCCGTGAGGCCGTTCATTTGAGGGTGGTAAGTGGTTGTCAGCGTGTGTTGCGTGGAACAAGAACGCAGGATGTCGGTGATGACTTGGGATAGAAATGTACGGCCATGGTCTGTGAGAAGCTGTCTCAGAGCACCGTGAATCAATATAACGTCCCGTAACAAGAAGTCAGTGACGTCGGTTGCACAGCTGGTTGGTACAGCTCTCGTAATAGCGTAACGTGCAGCGTAGTCCGTAATAACGGCTATCCATTTGTTTCCCAATGTTGATGTGGGAAAAGGACCAAGAAGGTCTAACCAATACGGCAAAATGGTTCTGCGTGTATTTCAATTGGTTGAAGATGGCCAGCGGGTAGCAGCGACGGTGTTCAACGACATTGGCATAGGTCACACGTGGCGACGTATCGACGTACCGAGCGAGCAAGGCCTGGCCAGAAGAAACGGCACCAGACGCGCTCGTACGCGCGGGATACGCCAAGGTGTCCAGCCATGTGAGCGTCGTGAAGTTCGGTGAGAACACAGCGGCGCAAATGCTTAGGCACAACAATGAGAAGGTTCGGCCCGTCTGGTCGGAAATAGCGACGGAATACCACACCTTTTTCAATGACAAAGTAGCAGACGGAAGCATCTTTTGGGGAGGATTCCATGCGGCTGATGATGTCAAGCAGCACTGGATCACGCTTCTGTTCTACCTCAATATAAAGGAAGTTGGACACTGACAAGATAGAGATCTTCGTGGGATCGTCAATGTCCTCAAGATCGTCGACAGGGTACCGGGATAGGCAATTGGCATCATGGTGTAGGCGGCCAGATTCGTAGACCACCGAATAGGAAAACTCTTGCAGGTGCAAAGCCCAGCAACCAAGGCCGTCTGGTGGATCTTTCAGAGAGTTGAGCCAGCAGAGCACGTGCTGGTCGGTAATTACCGAAAATGGGCGTCCGTAGAGATAAGGTCAAAATTTTGCCACCGCCCATACCAGAGCCAAGCACTCACGCTCTGTGATAGAATAACTACGTTCAGGGGTAGGTAGGAGGCGGCTGGCATATGCAATAACGCAATCATGGCCATGTTGTTTCTGAGCCAGCACTGCACCAATGCCATGTCCACTTGCATCTGCGCGGATTTCTGTAGGAGCAGCAGGGTTGAAGTGTGCCAGAATCGGAGGGGTAGTGAGAAGAGCGACGAGAGTCGAGAACGCAGAAGCCTCTTCGGAGTCCCATTAAAACGGGACTTCATTCTGTAGGAGCTGCGTAAGCGGCCTCGCTATGTGCGCAAAATTTTTCAAAAAGCGTCGAAAGTAGGATCATAGTCAGATAAAGGTGCGTACATCCTTCGCAGATCGTGCCAAGTGACATTTCGACGAGTTGAGCTGCAGGCCAGCACGACGGAAGATTCCTAAGATGGCTGAGATGCGCTCTATATGAACTTCAAATGTTGGTGTAAAGACGATGACGTCGTCCAAGTAGCATGAACAGGTGTACCATTTGAATCCTCTGCGCAGAGAGTCCATCATTCATTCGAAGGAGGCTGGAGCGTTACAAAGCATGACCTTGAACGGATATAGGCCATCGGGGGTGATTAATGCCATCTCTTTACGGTCCATTTTATCTACTTCTATCGGCCAGTAGCTGGATTGAAGGTCTATGGAGGAAAAATAGTGGGACCCATAGAGGCTATCAAGCGCATCATCTATTCGTGCAGCGGGTAGACGTCTTTCTTGTTAATTTTGTTGAGGTGTCGATAATCAACGCAGAAACGCCATGCATCGTCTTTCTTGCGGAATAGCACTACAGGAGAAGCCCAAGGACTGCAGAATGGCTCAATGATGTCCTTGGCGAGCCTTTTGTCGACC